TTTCCAACCACGAGGGAGAAACTACACTGGCCACTAAACACACAAAATGCAGAACAGTGCTTACCTGATGACCAGCTTTAACCTGCTCCAGAACTTTGTTGTAACAAACCTCCTCCATGTCATGAAGCTGCTGGATCTGAACAGGACACAAAGTCACAATAAACAACTGAAGTTAACCGTTTACTGCAATTTTTTAACTCTCTAATATAACTAAGACTGAACAATCAATTATCTTCAAGCCACTAACCCAAAAAGTCAGTATTTGGTGACCTAGGAATGAGACTCAAGAAACTTTCTTGGGTCTGATTGGTTGTTTCCATCCAGGCCCGATGGATTCTTGCAAATATATTATAAAGGCAAGCAATATATTGCACATATATTGTACACATGTATCACCATGAAGAACTAAACTACCTGTGCATGTAAATACGTTCACATCATTTTCGTTTGCTTACCTTGTTGGTGGTTTTAATTCCAACAAAGGTTTGTCCAAGGGGCACCGGTCTGAAGCGACTGTCGAAGAAAAAGAGGCCAATGTAGGGGTTGACGTGTAGGAAGGCAGCCACATCCAGATAGTTGGGCAGGGTGGCTGACAGTCCCAGGATCCTGATCATACTCTGGGTGGACTCCACCTAACAATCAGACAATGACACAATGTCACAGCTGCACCAAGCTGCAGTACTGGGGAATCTGCCTGAAATGAGCTTGATGATCATTTTTTTCATGTGAAAATATGAAAAGGCAACGTGTGCAGCGGTAAAAGAAAAGTACTAAACATAAATTATCTGAGAGGATCTAAGTAAAACAGTGAAATACCTCCAGTCATTATAGACCATTAAGACACAAAAGCATGGCAATTGTTAATTTATCCTGAATTACACGTGTACTAAGGTGTACACATTTATGATCCCCATGGTAATTATAAAACTTTTTCCCCCCGTTCTTTGAAAAACTTTGAAAATGTGTCAATAAAAGCTGAGAGAAGACAACATTTCTGTGGATTTATGGTGCAGAGGAGATTCAAATTCAGAAAACACAAGCACAGAAAGTCAGTATGTGGCTTCAGGATCTTTGTCTTTACTTTGTCTTCGAGACAAAGTAAATGATCTTGCTCATGTACTTTTATGTCTTTATTTTGTCTTTGAAACCTGGAAAAAATTCAATATGTTGTGCATCAACGTGGGCGAGAGGAGAGAAAACTAGAGGTGTTGCTAGAGGAGAGGGGGGTTTGCCCTATCTGTGAGCCTCCTGCGGGATGTGACAGGAAAGATTGGTAAGGCCTTTAATGTGATGCAGTACCTGTCAAACCATCCTATCAAGATAAGACCCAGCCAATCCCTGCCAGCGGACTGGGCCTGCACTACACATTCACGCCGGTGCTGCTCAACGTCCATACTGCAGATGTTCATCATGTTCACCTACAAACAGTCTGCAGGCTTTTTTCTTTTACATCCTTTTACTTTATGCGACTGTGAGCTTAACTGCTTTGCTGTACAAGAGATGAAGAATCCATGTTTCAGTTACGTTTGTGGCATCATAAAATTTTATGACAACATAAGGTAATTGTGATTAAGAGCTAAATTTACAATTGCCCCAAGGAGAGGGAGTAATGAGCTGGATAAAATCAAAATTAATAGGTCACAAAATTAGACAGTGTGGTGATCTGTGAAGTCCTCTGTGGCTTTGCACTGTGATCTATGTAGTTCGAACATCAAACAAAAGAAAAGGAGTACCAGTATTCATCGTGGATTTGCATGGACAATGAAACACTGGACCTTTGAACCCCTAAAGACGCCAACAAGTTAAAGTTTCAAGTACAATATGCACAGCTGTGTTTTAGTCTCCACCAACTCCTGTCAAGAATATCTGTCTCTTGCTGCTAATTGCTCCACTACGTTCACCAGCTAGTCTCTAACTGTGTCTGTCTGCTGCTTGGTGCTGAGAAGGTAGTGTACAGTGGGTTAATCAGAGATTTATCAGAAGAGCTGACAGAAAATGCTGGAAAGAAGGATAATGAGACCTGGTGTTTCAAGGCCAAAACAATAAGCTAAAAGAGGTTAAAAATGTCTGCAGAGGTAACCCCAATAATGGAATAATGGAATGGAATACAATAATGGATTGACAAGCCAATCGCAGGGGAGGGCAAGCCAGTATTTGGGTTTTTTTAAGATGGAAAAGCATCCCGGAGTAGCTAGTCTGAAGAGACTCGACGCAGTGCTACTCAGCATCGCTCAGTCCAGGATTATAATACCAGTCGGGAGAAAGTCACATAGCCTTAATCGTTCTGGAAAAACTCCTGACTGGAAACACCAGCAGTCAGTTCGCCACAGCAAATGGGACCCATGACTAGTCAGTGTTTCGGATTATTGAGTATCCCTCTTAAAAAGCGACTTTCAGCCAAACATGTTAACTAAAGGGTGACTTTTTTTCAGCTGAAAGTCACCAGCTGAAAGAAGTCACACACATAGAAGACATTATCTTGCTGCGTTATCGTGCTGCTGTTGGCGCCGCGTGAGTGGTAGCTAGTAACAGCAGCTCTTAACTTCTTGGCACTTTAAGCAAGTGTGCAGCTATGGATATTCATATTGTTACATTCGTAGTTTGCCTCTTGTTGTTCTTTGAACTTTTTGGTGCGGGATCGGGAAACCCACTCAACCACGGCTCCATTCTTTACACCCGGAATGAGCTGTTAGCCCTGTGCCACACACCCCTTCACTGCGCGGAGCGGCTGGAGATCCCCGAGGAGATACGACGAAGGAGAAGAGGATGCAGAGCGGGAGTAAAGCGCAGACAGTGGAAAAGACGGTACAAACCATGTTTACCGTCTGTCATCATGGGGAACGTAAGATCCCTCCCCAACAAGATGGAAGAGCTAATGGCGCTAACCCGGCTGCAGAGGGAGAACCGGGAATGCAGCCTCATGTTCTACACAGACACGTGGCTGAGTGAACGTTCTCCTGACTCACAGGTCACCCTGGACGGATTTCAAGTTGTACGGGCGGACAGGAAAGCAACGGAGAGCGGTTGTGAATGAAAGATGGTGCCACCCAGGACACATCAGTGTTAAGGAGCAACTCTGCACCAGAGACTTGGAGCTGTTAGCGGTTAGCATGCGGCCGTACTACCTTCCGAGAGAGTTTTCACATGTTATTGCTGTAACTGTGTACATCCCTCCCTCGGCCGTCGCTGCTGCAGCTACAGATCAGATCCACACTGTCGTCTCCCAGCTTCAAAA